GGTAGAAATCTCTGCGCGGCAGTTAGAAACCTCTGCGCGGGGATTTCTTTTTATGTGCGCGGCCGCGCAGGCGCGCACCTTAGAGGGAACAGTGGAGCTGTTATGTATGTCAAGGGCAGCCTCACTCAGAACACATTGTACTAGTCCAAATGAGAGGTGAGTAGGATATGAGTGACCATCGGAATTTCTTCCTCATTGAATAAAAGGTGCAAGTGCAACACAAGGTGTACAAAGGCTCTGATGGACACAACTACTATTTACTGTTTGAGCATTACTTATGAATCCTAGAGGATTTCCAGACTGCACACTAGTCTCAAATGGGGAAATATGACCCCTCCCAAGGCCAAAGATGAAAATATCTGAGATGGGGAAGTGTTGGGGTGCTATCCACTTTGTTTTTTCAGTCTTGATAGGGTGCCTCACTCAGCAATTTGATATAAATATTTAACAGGAGGGAGGAGAGAATTGAGCTTTGAGGGAACCTCCTTTCAACACCAAATGGTACTGACCACTGAGGAAGGAGGTGAACTACTGTAGCACAGTACCCCCACTTCTCATCTGCCTAACTAGTCCACAAGGATACTGGTAAACAATATTGAAAGTTGCCAAGAAATTAAGGTGTATGAGGATGGATGCAGCACCTCCACCCCAAATCTGCCAAAGGCCAATGACAAGCACAGCCAGTGCTACCACAGTACTATATCCTGGCCTAAAACCCCACTGAAATTGGTCCAGAACCCTTTATAAGTCCTGTCCAACCACTTTAACCAGAAAGGGGAGGTTGGAAACTAGATAATAGCTTCCAAAATATCTATTGTGGAAGCCGATGAATTTGAACTTTCAGAGAAAAATAATAGTTTGGCAGGCTTTGAGATGGATTTATCTTACCCAGCAAGCATACTTTGCAGTCTGGAGTACTGTCAGACACATTATATTTTCCATATTGTATGTCTGCCTTATAGCAAAGGTGTTTTGTTTTTTTATAAAATCCCATATGGTACTAACAGATTTCATAGGGGATCCAGATTAAAAAAATGAGGATCATAGTCACCCATAAATTTGTAAGAATGATATAAACATATCAAGAATTTAATTACATTGCTTGGAGAGGCTCTCAGATATTTAAGTGTGCTTTTTTAATGAATACAAACGGCTGCCAGGGTTTGAAACGGAAATTCTAATTTAAAGTGAAGGAAGGCATAATGTATATTTCATACAAAATGGTAAAAACAAACATACAGCAGCAGAGCAAATATGATGCCCTAAAAGTCAGACGTTATATAAAATCATGCTCTGATACAGTATTAGGGACAGAGGTTGATGACTTTTGGTCTCTAGAATGATATTGTTCCTTTGCATCCATACACTGGGTCTTCAAGTCCTATCTGTTGAGGTCAAATACACACACACACACACACACACACACAGACACACACACACACACGCACACCAACCTTTTTGCTTGGAAGAGAGATTATGAAATAGAATGCAGAAGGAAATGAAGTGTGATCCATAAATGCAGTAACACCTCTGGGAATTCTAGCATAATGACTTCTTTCAAGTTAAAATTGCAGGCAATTTTTAGATTTAGTTGGAGTTAATGGGCATTTGAGGAAGTTAGTGCTTCTAAGAACATTAAGAGATGGTGATAAACCCTGCTGTCCTAGGGGAATAATCTCACACATGCAAACACAAGGATATCCAGCTTCAGAAAATGCCAAATTCTCTATCAATACTACTATCCCCAGCACACAGGGTGAATATAACTACTGGTGACTGCTATAATTTTCTCAGTTTAGTATATAGTGCCCAAAGGCCCTTTGGAAAAGATGGGTCTTTACAAGTTTGTAGAAGACCACTGGAATAGGGAGTACTCTCACCATGGAGGGTAGGCCCCCATCCTTGATGTCCTGAGCAGATATTATCTGTGTTGTATTGGCAGATTCTACCAGGCAAAAGTGGCTTTTTTAGGCACCCTCATGCCACTAAGGTTTTAAAGGTATTAACAGCATTTTGAATTGTACTCGGAAACCTACTCCTAGCTAATGCAGTTATTCAATCATTGTGTTGTTTTATTCATGAGGGGATTCACACATATTTATCATTTAGGCCCGGGGTGTCAAACGTGTGGAGTCATGGCGGCATCACATGATGTATCATGATTTTGCCTTCCCTTCACTAAACTGGGCATGGGCGTGGCCAGCGCATGATGCATCCAAGTTTGACATTCTTGGTTTAGGTGCACGGTTCTCCAATCCTTTGGTTTGCCTGAGCCATACTGAATCAAAAGGAGTAGTTTTGGGCCACATATAAATATATAATACAGTTAATGTATCTAAATAACAAACTTCCTTTAAAAAACATTCTTATTATCTCACGGGACTGCAGTACTAGCTATCCAGGGCTGCGGGTGGTCAGCGGGCCATGGGTTGGACACACCTGACTTAGGGGATCACTGATTCACCTCTCAACTAAGAAGTCTGAGAACCCCTGCAGTAGCATATTTCTTTCTTCTCATACCTGGTCCAGTTCCATCTCATCTGGACTCTTCCGTTTGGAGGCAAGCATGCTGCTTGTGTGCTCTATTGGTACCACCACAATGTAGTACGACCTGTGAAAGAAGAAGAGAGAAACAGTGGGTTCTAGAGATAATGGAATGCTCTCCATAAAATCCCTGTAACGGTCCCTCACTGCTTCACTTTCTTTGCATTCTTCAGACTGTCATGAATTAAAGAAATAATGTTGTAAAGCCTAGTTTTTTTAATAGCGAAGTATCAATTTCAGTGGTATGTTATGGAACTATAAACACAAATGAGACTTCAACAAGCTTTGCAAGGGATTTACATTCATTACTCAAGTAATTGGGCAGATAAGGTCATCCTGCGTCCTTTAAGAGGAAAGAAAGGGAGATTATAGCTTTATGGCCTTAATTAACATAAAGAATATATAACTCAAAGAGGCAATATGCAATACAGAAAAATAATTGTCCAAAATCAGAATCCTAATAGGTTGCTACTTCAATTCCTATAAACTAATCTCTTGTATATTGTCCTTAGTATTGTGATATATTTTAGAGCATTTTGTAGTTGAATAATTAATCAGAGTCTATGAAATCTGACGTGATTCCCAGTGATACCATCTTACTACCCATACAAAAATATATTCACTCTTCAAGGATTTCCTAATCTGAATAGGAAAATACAGTACTTATTCTACTGTATTGTGTTTTTGGAGAACATAGTGGCAGATCAGTATCAGAATGGAATCAGAGATGTGGAGAGAGTATACCTGACTGGCACAGAAGTCTTCACTTTGGGGAGGGTGAGGGTGAACTGTCCATTATGGATATATTTGTATGTGGAACCAGGCTTTGTCTGGAAAACATCAGGTGATGTCCGGATGAAGACCCGATGTTGCAATGCGCCTGCACTACTTCCCCGGTTTGTAAGTGCAAAGGAATAATTTGTGTCTGGCTGCAAATCATTAATCAGCTTCTTCATAGAATGTCCATCTACCTCCACTGTCTGCCCATTGTATAAAATCTGAAAGCAAAATAAATAAAGCAATGGATTTCACTCTTAGAAATTTTGTCCTGGAAAAGAAATGAATTTTGTCACCAAATTTCTATCTCCAAGTTGGGTCTTTGCTGTGATCTTCTGATAATATGTGAAAACTGATTTTAACCGTAATCGATACTAAAATGAGGTATTTATCTTGGGAGTTTCTCAATATTGAGATAGCACTCGTTTTCTAATTCCACTTCAACTGGACTCTAGATCTAGTTCTTAAATTGAAATTATCTTGATTCTGTGGGAATGTTGTTGTCCAAAATGATCCCTTGTGTATTACTTTGGAACTTAAAGTACATTTTGTTTCCATAGAGTGCAATATACTCTGACGATTCCTATTTGAAAGGATAATTTCAAAAGGTGGCACTCAGAATCTTCATTGTGCTAGTCTTTGGAAGAAACAGCAATTCATGGTGCCTCACTAGTTTTTTTAAACTGATTTTTAAGTATAATTTTTATAGCAGAAAATCTTAAGATTAAAAACAATAGAAATATTAGAAAAAAAACAAAAAATAAGGACTAAATAAGAAAAGAAACAGAAAAAGAAAGAAAAGAAGAAGAAAATTAAATATAAAGGTTTTGTTACTGATTTTTTATGTTGTTAAGAGAAAGACAGATATAGAGAGACAATAAAAATTCATTTCCTCTCATGGCTGATGCAGACTTGCTCAGATAATTCCAGACATCTGGAATATAGTGAGCTGTCTCTGCTTTAACAGCCAAACTTTGATTCCATCTTTAACTACAGTCTAACTGTGGCAAAGCAACAAAAACAATCAAAAACTTCTCCTCTGTTTCTTAAATAAGCACCTAATACTTGCTAAAAATGAAGATTGTGGATGGTAAGCCAATAGTCTATATGAGCGGTCCCCAACCCCCTGATCTGTGGACCAGTGTCGATCCGCGGCATGCCAATAACTGGGCCATGAAAGCAAGCAAAGCCCCATCCACGGGATGCAAAACTGTGCCCCCTTCAGTCCGCAAAAAAACCTTTCTCCACAAAACAGGTCCCTGATGTCCAAAAGATTGGGGGGCCCTACTCTATATATCCAGTAATATTCTACTTACAATCTCATGAAAATGGGTACAGTGAGTCACATTTCACAAGAAAACACACATCTAACAATCCTTTAAGAAATAGGGAATAAGCACTCTTATATCATCAGGTTCTGACTGCAACAGACATCTTATCATAATGCCACTACTCACTCCACCAGACCAGGTTTTTTNAAGACGCTGAATTTGCCGATCAGAAAGATCGGCAGTTCAGTGGTTCAAATCCCTAGCGCCGCGTAATGGAGTGCTCTCCCGTTACTTGTCCCAGCTTCTGCCAACCTAGCAGTTCGAAACCATGTAAAAATGCAAGTAGAAAAATAGGAACCACCTGTGGTGGGAAGGTAACAGTGTTTCGTGTGCCTTAAGCATTTAGTCATGCTGGGCACATGCTCACGGAGACGTTTTTGGACAGCGCTGGCTCTTCAGCTTTGAAACGGAGATGAGCACTGCCCCCTAGAGTCGGGAACGACTAGCACATATGTGCGAGGGAAACCTTTACCTTACCTCACATTATGTTCAAGACTTTTTATCTCTGTACATGTATATTGTATCCTAATTGAATAGCATTTAAATTGGGTTTGTGTCTAATTGGTAAAATAAAATATTTTATTTAAAATATTTGTGAGCTTGTTCTCTTTCAAGGACATAATGTCATTTTTGTTATGTTAAATTTTAGCCTTTTGTTTATATTCGGATACTAGGACCACTTTATGCCTTCTAAATGTGGACTTGCTTACAGTTGAGATATGGAATAATGAATTTTATATTTGTTAATCAATATATTTATTTTAGGGATCTGTTTGACCTTTTTGGTAATTTCTGGATTGGAGAAGACATCACTTATTATGATTTGCTTACAGTTTAAGAGTTGAGTTACGGGATTAAAAGTTTTATTACCTGTTAATTAAGGGAGTAACAACAGCGAAATTGTTTATACTTATTATGATGAGGTGAGAAACCGCAATCTTAGGTTGTTTTTTAAATTTCTTTTATGTTTTCTTGCATCTTTTATTCTCTTATTTTTTACTTTCTTTTTTTAGTATGCATCTTATTTACTATGTAATTAAAAAATTTAATAAGATTATTAATAAGAAATAGATGTAGCTGTATCTCAAAATATACCAAATACCTGGAAAGTGCGCTCGGCTAGCCATGAATGCCTTAGTACATTCATTCTTGTATACGGTAATACACAACTTGTCCTCAGCTGGCTGCTCAGAGTCCTCACCCTTCCAACTTGGTTGCACATTGGCTATGTCCGTCACTGAAGTGTTCAGACTGGGTGACTAATGGAGCATTTGACCAGCTCTAATGAGCCATTACAAGTAAATGAGGCTGAAAGTAAGAGCCACAGCATGGGACAGAACAGAAAGACCCAAATATCTTCATTATGTTGGACATTACTTACACATTTCACACAGTAGCAGCACTCTATTACTCTTCCTTTCCTCTCGTTCATCCACACCAGTGTGCAACAAAAGATAATGCAAATGCTTATATGGACAGGCAAGTGGAAGGAGAAACTTCCACAATCTCCACTTTGCCAATAATTCAACAATGCTAACTTTGTAACTGTCCTTTTTTCTTTCAAGTGTTCTTACCGTATCACCATCCTCCAATGAAGCCAGCACAAAACAACGGTAGCTCAAATCTTCTGAAAGTGGCTTATTAAAAAAGCCTTTATAATTCTTTTCATCTCCCAAAACAAATGTTTCTGGCAGTTCTTCCACTTGGGCTGCGATATAAGGCTTGAGGTGTTCTGCTTGTCGACGCTGGCGCCTTTCTGTGGCCCCTTGGTTTATGGCCTCAAGTAACTGGGGAGTCAAAGAAAGCTTATGTAAGAAAAAGTTCTGCCAAATACCTTTATGAACTGTACTTCACAAAAACATATGCTTTTAATAATATTTGTTAATCGAAAAAGGTGCTCCTGACTTTGTGTCACCATAGACCAACACGGCTCCCCTCCTATAGAAGACAAGGTAACCTTTTATTGTATTAAGACAAAGGAAAAAGAATAGGTGAAAAGAGCTTAGGACAAGCAATTGAGTAAGCAATTGACAATACCCAATGCAAATGTTTATTTATTGGATTTCAAGACTGTACATCTCCAAAGAAGATTCTGGACGGCTTACAATATTTAAAAGAACTATTTAGAGAAACACACTGCATCGCATAACTACATAAATATTTTCCAGAAAAAAATGGCCTGGAAACAGAACCAGGTTTTAAAAAGACTTGTAGAAGACTTGGAGACTTAAAGAATGGGAGCTGTTCAATGTTCCCTCTAATTTTTTTTCAGTGTGAGCGGAAAAGTACAGTGTGTGAGCGGCACAGTTTCA